TCCTCAAAGGCAAAGTTAGGTTGACTTTAGGATGTAAGGAAGTGCCAAAAGAAGGGCATCCTATTAGTGCAGGACAAGAGTACGTAAGCTTACCTGGAGGCTAGTTGGGCTAAAGGCATATAGGATTGGAACTCACAGGGTAGAGAGACACTACTGCTTCATTGACCAGGTGGAGATCCTGGACTAGCCTCCATCTGTTAGGTCCCTTTCTGACATGAGAATAGGAGTATTATATGGGCTGGAGCATTCCATTAGCTGTCCCTGTTCTTAAGTCTTTGATTATGGGAATTAGCCCCTCTTAAACTTCTGGTTTTAAAGATGTTGTTTTTGATGGGAAAACCAGGAGGGATCCATGACATGAATTAGGACTGGGACTACTGTTCGTGCCCGTCCCACAGTGTGTCCATCTGTCCACGCCATGGGGTCTACTTGTTTCTCTATCAGGGGCAAGCAAAAGTACTCCCCTGGGGTAAAAGGAGCTGAACCCCAGTTTAGATAGAAGGTCTCACCCTTGCAGAGGAGTGGAGTTTCTGGGGACAATTAAAAAGGAGTAACAGAAGTGGAAAATTCCCAGGAGCCGGCTAGAGGGTGAGTGAATAACGCTCTAGAGGCTGGCCTGATATGCCTCAAACAGTAATTTTATTGGAGGACCTGGTCTGAGAGAGAAAAAAAGCTGAGGTGCTGGCTCCAGTATCAGTAAGGAGGCTGACCTTGTGCTTTTCGATAGTAAGTATAACCAGGGGGGCCCCCTGCCTTTATGGTGGTTACAGGAGCCTGTATAGGAGGCCCTGGGACCCGTCATTGGGTGGGAAGCTCTGGCCTTGGTTCCCCTGGGAACTGGGGACAGTGTGCCTTCCAATGTTTTCCCTGACAAATGGGGCAGGGTTCCGGGGGTGGCTTCCACCAGGGGCACTCCCTCCTAAAATGGCCTGCCTGTCCACACTGAAAGCATGTCCTCCAGTTTGGACTTTGCCCCAGTGACTCCTCTCTGAGTGTTCTGATCAGAGCCTCCTGCCGTTTGTCCTTTCTCTTTTCCCTCTCCAGGTCCTTCTTTTCTTTTTCTAAGTCCCTATTATAATATACAGATGTGGCTATATGGACCAATTGATCTAGATCTCTGTTCCCTTCAGCCACCAGTTTTTGAAGCTTTTTGCGGATATCTGGGGCTGACTGTGTTAGAAATTTATCTTTTAGGACAATTTCCTCCTCCTGTGACTCTGGCACAATGTTGGTATGCTTTGTAAAGGATCCTTAAGTCTCTGTAGGAAAACTACTGGGGTTTTCTGGACTGTACAGAGTTGCTGTACAGTCGTGACTTGGAGTAATTAAGAGGTTTCCTTAGACCCTCAAGAATGCAGTGGAATGAAAGTGGTTACAGGTCCATTCATCCTTGTCATCTTCAGGGTCCCACTTAGGGTCATAGCCTAGGCCACTGCCTGATCCCCTTTGGAATTGGGAATTAGGGTTCCCTTTTAGGTATCCCATGTCTTTGTCTTTCTCCTCACTCCTTGCTCCTCCTCCTCCTCCTCCTCCTGTGAGGGCCCAGTCTGAGGGAGGCCTGTAAGGCCAGTTTTATCTAAGTGATAATCATCCCCAGCTTTGGCCTGCCTGCTCTCCTACCTGCTGTTTTCTCCAGAGAAGTAAGGGTCTGAGATAGGATTAGCAGTACAAATCTTTCCAGCTCAGTTTCAAAGTTTTTTGCTGACTTCTCTGAATGTCTGGATGTACTGAAGTTTGGTTCCACCCACATAGCATTGGCAGTCCAGTATAAATCCCCGGCCAGCCCCCAATTCCTCCAGTTGCCTGCCTTTCAGCTGTAATGGGCTCAGGGCCTTTTCCTCAGGTTCCAAGGGAGAAATCCTCCTTAACAAGAGAGAGGGAAAGAGAGAGGGAAAGAGAGAGAAAAGGGCATCCTGAGAGTTCCACCATAGCTAAGCTGCGGTGGGGGAAGGAGAGACTTCCAGGATGGAGTCCTCTCCTGGAAAACAGACTTCATCCAGAGTGCTGGGAAATCACGTTCCAACTTTCCTAGACAGCCTTTCCCAGTTTGGCATAACCTATACCAACCTCAGGTGTTGGCTGGTCCCTTTGTGCATCGCCAAATATGACACACGGGTGACACGCACAGGAATTTTAGGTGCTCAGGGTTCTTGAGCCCACTCTGAGAATGAAAGCACAGGTAGACTCTAGCACTAGAGGTCAGAAAGATTTTATTTGTAGAGAAGAGAGGAGAAAAGCTGCGTGAGGGGGCATGCAGGAGGACCTGAAAACTGGTGGTCCCCTGGGTCAGGTTGGAAATTGGATTTTTATAGCCTTTTTGCATTGCCTGAGGGCAGAGATGTCTCTAGGTGCAAACAGAAGTTTCCTGGGAAGGAGAGGTGACCACTTATCACCTTTTGGGACCTCCTGCAGTCCGTCCTTCACTTTTTTTTTTTTTTTTGAGTACTGGGGTTTGAACTCAGGGCCTTGAACCAGCCCTTTTTGCTTCAGTTAATTTATCAGGTAGGACCTCACATTTTTGCCTGGGGCCAACCACTGACAGCAATCTTCATGCCTATGGCCTCCTGAGTAGCTGGGATTACAGCTGCAAGCCATCACACCCAACACTTTGGATTTTTTTTGTGCCCTGGATTTTAACTTTTGCTCTCATGCCTCAGTGTCCTTAATTTAGCCTGCCTCAGAGCCAATTCAAGGTTGCATAACAGACAATAGAGCCAGAGCTGTTAGTGGAGACATGGGCAGTAATGTAAACCGGTGCAGGGGTAACCAGAGACAATGCAGTATGTGCAGTGTGAGCACTGTGTAAGTGCTGCTTGTATCGGAAATTTCCCCACAGAAGAAAGGAGCAGCAGACAGACAGTCAATGAGGTTAAGTAAGAACCATATGTGCCTGGATGTGAATTACAAGTACCAGTATCAACTCACATTTGTTTTTTCAAAAGTAAGCTCCCAGGTTGGCCTGGGCCTGGGCTATATAGTGAAACCCTGCCTCGTGCACCTGCCCTTTAGCTAAGTGGGAAGCATAAATAAGAGGATCTCGGCTTAGGCCTGTTGGGCATAAAAAGAAATACCCTATTAGAATAAAAACAACAACCAAAAAAAAAAAAAGAAGAAGAAAAAGGGCTGATGGAGTAGCTCAGGTGATAGAGAACTTGCCTCATAAGTGCAAGGCCCTGAGTTCAAACTGAGTATCACAAAAAATAAATAAATAAATAAAAGTAAAACAGAAAATTCCTACTGATAAATTGGAGCTGTCTCAGTGTTACAGCACTTGCCTTGCTTGTATGAAGCCCTGGTTCCACCCTCAACAACGAACACACAGAAAACAAATTATTCCCTAGGTAATATCATCAATGACTGCTAATTTTAATATTACAGAAAAGACAGTTACATACTGGAAGTACACACAATCTATGAAGCAGTCTTGCCGGAAAAATTTTAGTCTGAATGTGATCAACCCTCTGAAATGATTTTCCCTTTTTTTTCTGGCAGTGCTGGGCTCGATCCAGACTTGCTAGGCAAGTGTTCTGCACCACTGTTAGAAATATCTTTAAGACACTGGGTTGGCACAAGAGAGATTACACTAGGCAGACGTAAATAGGCAAGGCAAAGTTTACTTCTGCAGGAGGGTGCACACCAAGAAGTCTGGGGGGTATGCACACCAGGCAGGAAGTCCGAGGGGGTTTCATCTGAGGCCATGATGTCCCTCTCCTGCCCCTAATCCACAATCTAAGGGGTTGGCTAACTAGAAAGGGCCTTGAGAACAAACTTTAAAGTTCAGAGAAGCAACAACTATTTTAGATCATCAGCTCCAGAACCAAGGCCTCTGGCAGAATTCTTGCCCCACTCAGGATAACACCCTTTGTTCTTAATAGAAACTTTTATCACGTTAAGCAGTCTGTGAAGCCAGCATACGGGAGACCCTTTGTAACAGCAACGATTACCGATTAAATCCTTTGACAGAAAAGACCTCACCTAAGTTGATTCTCACACTTACATCACGCTGAGCTCTCTCAAGCCCACTCTTTGGTTTCTCATTTCTGACTTTCCTGTAATAAACGTGCACCACTTTTACAAAATGTTTGTAATTTACACTCCAGTGTTAGTATTCCACCTCTGCGCATTAAGTCTTGCTCAGCTGGCATCAATTTCTTGGAGGAACAAGAATTACTTGCAAGACTGTTTTCAGTTTTGTAACTTTCAAGGGTTAGACTCAATACACTTGATACAACTGTAACGAATGGCCAACAGGATCACAATCAATTCAACCCACTCTCAGCCTCCCGCCCCCGCCCCGCGTGTTACGCATGCGCACTGCTGCCTCGCCAGGTCTACGTGACACGCCGCTGGGCGGCTATGGCGGCAGGCGAGAGTGGCCTCCGCTCCGCCCCCCCCAGAGGAGGAACAAGAGAAATGAGAGTCCCAGGCCGAGCTGACGGAGCGGGCCAGGCTGGGGCTTTCAAGCAGAGCACCCGGAGCTACCCAGGTTCGACCTCAGCATGGAATCCCTCTTCCACCCTTGTAAACACATCCTTAGTTTTAGCCACCCAGCCTATGTGAAGAAGAAACCAAAGTAAGAAGCGACTGGGGGCCTTAGCGGCGTAGGATGGAGGTGAACAAGCTCCGCCCATACTCTCTGATTGGCTCCGGTATCGGACCCGTCTCTTCCTGGCACTCTCATTGGCCTACACGGAGCCGGCTGGGGTGGAGGTCGCACCGCCCCCCGTGCGCTCCTCATTGGCCTAGGGGTGTGGCTCTCTCTATCTCGGCGCTTTCATTGGCTAGGCGCAGGCGTTGGAGGCGGAGACTCGTCGGGGCGAAGACAACAAAGGTGACGGGCAGCGGGCCGCGGTGTTCGCGTCTCCCGTGCTGTGTTCCGCTGAGGCGCTCGGGCCTCCTACCAGCCCCGCTCCAGATGAAGTGTGAGCACTGCACGCGGAAGGTGGGTGCTACGGTAGGCACGGGGAACTGGGGGGGTCGAAGGTCGGAACGGAGAGTTGAAGCAAGGGGATGGAGGTCGGGGCTGGGCTGGGGTCTGGGTCGGGGCCGGTGCCTGGGGTCCGGGATCAGCGGAGATCCGGGACCAGGTCTGGGGTCGAGGCCCAGCCACGTGTCCCGCCCGCCCCGGGCAGCTCCTGGGCTCCGGACGGACTGTCGGCCGTCTGTCGGTCAATGGGTGTGGGTCGCCGAGGACGCGGCGGCGAGCTCATCGCTGGCTCGGGCTCCCGGCACCTGGCGATTGATGGAGCGATCGGAAACGCTTTAAGCATTTCTGACACTCCCAAAAATTGCACGCTTTTAGTGACAGTGGAAACAGAGCAGGCCCTGCTGTCCTGTGCGCTCTCCTGGGTGCCCGCGGGAACTGACAGCTCCCGCTCCTGCTGCCATGCTGCGATGAGTAACCACGCACTGCGTAGGAATCGTTTGGGGTTTTTGCAAAAATTAGGTCATTTCATAAATAGGACTCCATAACTTGGTGTCGTTCACTTAGCTTTATGGGAAGCCCCTTTTCAAAGACCTGTATATAATTCTAGTTCATTCTTTTTTTTTTTTTTTTTTGGTACTGTGGGTGGAACTAGGCCCGCTTAAGTCACATCTTCAGCTCTAGTTCCCTCTTGGTAACAACTGCATCATATTTTAAGTTAAGTGTACCTGTGTCCAGGTAAGTCAGCTATTCATTAGGGCCACATCACTTCTAGTTCTTAGTTAGGCAGACAATACAGAGAGAGTGGTTATTGTCTATGTTTGTGTATCCATCCATCCTTAAGTATGGGTGCTTTTGTTTCTGTAGAAAAGATTTCTAGATAACGAAGTTAATTGGTCAGTGTATGTTTTTTGTAATAGCTAGAATCAGGTTGTAACTTGGTTTTTTACTAAATTCAAGCCCCAGTACTCTCAAAATAATTTTAAAAAAAAGTTCTTTAACCATGTGCCATTGCCTTTTCTAGGAATGTAGTAAAAAAACAAAAACCGATGACCAAGAGAATGTGTCAGTTGATGCACCAAGCCCTGCCCTGGAAAATGGAGAGGCAAGTAGACTTTTCAGTTTTGTATCAGCCTGAATGAGGCTGTTACTGTTTTTCTCTTGTTCAGGAGCTCATGTCACCATACTCATCATTAGTCTAAGAAAGAATGGTGCAAAAGTGAAGTACTAAGGGCTATGTGCAGGACAGTCCACCTGTCTTCTTAAACACTAGGCTGAAATACTGTATTACGAATAGAGAAATAGCAATGTAAAGACTTAACTTCAAGTCTTTGGAAACTTCGATTATGTAAAATGTGCTACTAGAACATTTATGAATAACTCAAATTTCATGATTTTTAAAATTTACTATATAAATGGGTTCTTCTCTAATTCAGTTCTCATTTAGCCAGTAGTAATGGTTTGTGTTTATTTGGTACACACTCTGATCAGGGCTTTATATCTACAGTCACATTCGTGCTCAGAATGGCCATTTAAGTAAGCCCGAGTAGGGATAGTGGAGCAGCTTAAGTGATAGAGTGCCTGCCAAGCAAATGTTGAGGCCCTGAGTTCAAACCTCAGTACTGCAAAGAAAAGCCAGGCACTGGTGGCTCACGCCTGTAATCCTAGCTACTTAGGAGGTAGAGATCAGGAGGATCGTGGTTTGAAGCCAGCCCAGGCAAATAGATGCAAGACCCTATCTCAAAAAACCCTATCACAAAAAGGAGCCAGTGGAGTGGCTCAAGGTATGGGCCCTGAGTTCAAGCTCCAGTAACACATTCACACACACACACACACACAGAGTGAGCTCTAGCGGTGTCCCTAATTCACAGAGAAGGGTATGGTGTAAGGAGGTTAAGGTCACTTCCCTTAGAAAACACTGGAACTAATTTTATAACTGAAGAATTGACATCGTGGGAGAAGCAGATGACAGGGTTTTCCTCTAAGTTTAGTAGTTCTGATCAGCTGTTTAATCTGACAGGCATTTGTCTGGCTTCCCTATGTGCCAGTGCTGTGCTGTAGAGACAAAGAACTGAGGAGAAATAGGGCTTGAGACAAATACCCAATGAACCGTCCACCAGGCATAGAGGCAGCTAGTTGGGGCCGGTGCTCCGAGGCAGCCAAACCTGGGGCCCCTTCATGCCTACCCTTTGTTGCATCACCTTGGACAGAAACCTGCCCAGCATGGTGGTGCATGGGAAACTGAGGCAGGAATATCACGAGTTTGAGGCCAGTCGGGACTACATAGCAAGACACTGTCTCAAAAGAGAAAAAGAACATGCCTTGTGAGGCTCTGTTCCTTATCAGTGTTGTGGGGAGTTGGGTTATTACCCTCCCAGGGCTCTGGTGAGGAGGAGATAAGACCTGTGCACAGCTCAAGCAGGCACCTGGCAGCTTAGGATGAGAGCATTGGGGAGGAGTTGGTAGATGGGCCCTGAAAGGGGGTGAGGATTCAAGGTGAGACATGGGGAGGGGTTCTGGCACAGAGGGCTTGTGACCATGCAGATGGTCAACTGAGGAGGGGCAGTACAGGCTTTTGGGCAAGGGAAAAACCTCAAATATGTGTTTTAGGGCAGGTGACAAAAGCAGCAGACAGAAGCTGGGAAGAGGAGGAGAATTTGTGGAAACCACTGAGGAGGCAGCTTTGAGGGCCTGGTGAGCCAGCCAGAGTGGCAGAGAGGGTGCCAGACTAGCTTGAGAGTACGAAGGTGTCAGAAGTGGGGACAGTGTGGCTGGATGGCTGTACCAGCAATGGTGAGGCTGACAGGCTAGATAAAGGAATAGGCTCCTGCAGAGACTCAAAAAGAATTTTGTGGCATTTAAGAAGTAGGAAAAGAAAGGAGCAAAGGCAAGCAGTGAGAAGGAGGAGGACAGAATTGTGACCAGGGTGGACATGGGCATTGGATGGTATGGTTTGCAGGTGTGATAAATGCAGAATTCTCAGTGTAACCCCTTGGGATCTCTCAGGCACCAGACCTCAGCCACACCACAGTGCCCACCCCACCTTGGAGCTTGTTAGAAGTCTGAACTCTTGGGACCCCATGTAGACCTTCTGAGTCCACATCTGCAAGAAATGAGATCCAGTGATGAGTAGGCTGCACTAGAACCTTTGGTCCTGTCTGGGTACTCTGAGCTCCCATTGAGAGCGTGCCATGGAAAAGAAGCACAGAGTTATCTCATGTCCAAACCATGTTTTAAAGAAAAAAAAACCTGCATAGACTCCCTCAGGAGCTTCTGTGACTGACTGAAATGACTCTAGTAGGCTTCAGCATTTTCATATGTTCTACGCACTAAATATTTACTGAGCATCTTCTGTGCAGTACCTCTTAGAAGTGCTGGGGAACAGAAAGAGTTGTTTCCTGAGAGCTCATGGGTGGAGGAGGGAGGGACCAGTCCATTAACACTGTGTGGCAGTTGGTATGTGAAAACATGTAAGGACATCCTCTGTGGCAGGGCCACCAAGGGATGGGCCAGAGCTCTCATGGAGACTTCTACTGAGGGTTGCAAAAACCCAAGGCCAGTGTGCTAGACGTGAACACCGAAGGGGAGGGGTGACAAGCCAGGAAAGATGGGGCTATGTGTGGGCACATGAGGGTCTACAGTCAAGGACTCGAAGCAAAATGGAAATAGGGTTTGTGCCTTAGCATATCTCTCAGGGTTACAGGGGGCCAGAGTGTTACACGGGCTAGACAGAAAGGAAAAGGGGAAAATAAATGAGAGGACAGAGGGTATCAAGGGGCTAAGTGAGCTCTGTAGTCTCAGCATCCAGGTGGGTACTCTTGTAAGTACCGTGTGCTACCCATTGTGCCACTGGAGCTCTTGGTGAGTACTCTACCAAGGTTGGGGATGGGGCAGGTCTGAGTATCAGTAGTCATCCCAGATGGTCTGAGGACCCTGTTGCACATGCAGGTGGAAACCCAGAGCTGGCAGTGACCTGGAGGGAGAGCCTGGGTCCTTAGGGGAGCCATGGAACTGAGTGAGCTTAGGGACAGTAGAGCTGGAGCAGCTGGGCTGGGAAACCAGAGACTGGATCACAGGCACTAAAGGGGAAGGGCTTGGAAGGAAGAGACGGCCATCAGGCCAGTGTGCCACATGCACTTGAGGCATTGGGACAAGTGGCCCAGAGTACCAGCCTCAGCTAGCTCAGGGTCCAGGTACTCTTGCCTCTCTGCCTGGTTGCCAGCTTGTTGGGCTTTTGTCTCAGGAGTGTCATCTTCCTACACATGACATGGTTGGGACGGTTCCTCCCTTGGTTGTCATGTACATGATTCCCCCATGTCATACTGGGCCAGTGCCATGCACTGTGTCCCACTACCTCAATGAGTACTCAGAACAGAGATGTCCTCTGCCGTTCCTGGAGCGCCAGGCCTTGCCCTGGCATCGTCTCCATGTTTAGTGTGAGCTCTGTGTATTATGCTTGTGCTCTTAACCTTACTAGAGAAGCTTAGGTTAATCCCAAGGTGTCATTTTCTCTCACAGAAGGGAGAGTTCCATAAGTTAGCTGATGCCAAGATATTTCTAAGTGACTGCCTGGCATGTGACAGCTGCGTGACTTCAGACGAAGGGGCCCAGCTTTCCCAGCGGAGCACCAAGGTCTTCTTCCGTGTCCTGAACCTTAATAAGGTACAGCATCCAGGCATCTTCATGGCCTCGCTTGCCACACCAGGTGTGGGTTTGGGCCTCCGGAGGCATTGGAACAGGTGGCCTCAGCATTGTCTCCTGCCCTGTGTCAGCTTAGTCCTGTGGGGCCATGACTGCACCAGGCCAGTTTTCAGCTAGATCGTCTGAGGAAGTTGAATTCCGCAGCAAAGGTTTCCTCCTTTTTTTCATTTTCTGAGAGCTGCTGATGGGGATACTTCCTGTGGTTTCCAGGAGGGGACTGCAGGGCCACTCTCCCTCCTTGTCACATCCCCATGTCCCTCATGGGAGACCTCCCTGTGCTTCTCCTATTGAGCTGCCACCATCTAGTTTTCCTTTCAGGGTGTTGATCGCTTGGTGATTTTATGCTTGTTAATTCGGTATTTTTAGAACATTTTGTAGATGAAAATTATCAGCTCTTGAATAATTAAAAAAATTTTAGTGACTGTGCTTGGCAGACTGAGACAAGAGGACCTAGAATTCAGCCTAGTCTTTATAGCAAGACTGTCTCTAAAAACCAAAATTAAAAAAAAATGTAGTGGCTAAAATTTGCCCCTAACTGACCCAGGCTTCATGATTTTTAGGGACTGATCTTGTGTACCAACTCAGTGTGTGTCTTTATTGTTACCGGATCAGTTCTGTTATTTATGGGCCAGTGTTATAATTTAAATTTTTCCTTTTAGAAGTATCTATTTCTTTCAGATATTTACACTTATTGCTAGAATATTGTTTTAAAATTGTCAAAGTCCAGAAAAAAATACTGTCAAAGTCTCTTATGTATGAAGTTATGCCTATTTTGGTTTTGACATTTTCTTCCTCTTTGCTTAATTATATTTGCCAGCATTTGTGTATTTTATTAGTCTTTGCGTGGAGTACATTTTATATCCACGTGTTCTGAATTTTTCATTAAGGTGTCTTATTTTGCTCCAGACATGGTCAGACATGTGAGAATACTCTCTTTCTCCTTCTAGAAATGTGATACCTCAAAGCACAGAGTGCTGGTAGTGTCTGTGTGTCCTCAGTCTCTGCCTTACTTTGCTGCTAAATTCAACCTCAGTGTCACAGATGCATCAAGAAGGCTCTGTGGCTTCCTCAAAAGTCTTGGTGAGTCACCTTCTGGCAGTAGTGTGGTTTTATACCTTGAGTTCATGAAGGGCCCTTTCTATCTCTGAAGTTAAAATTTCAAGGACACGGGAGAGATAAACTCCCAGGAGAGTCTCGTGGAATGAAAAATGACCCCGACCTATGTTTTGTGAAACCAGTCTCCCATCGATGGTAGGCAGGTGTCATGTTACCCTGTTCATGTGTAGATGGGTGTTCTGTTACAATGAAGCTAACCCCTGTAGATCGAGAAGTGACCACCTGCAGGCAGTATGGACAGGGACATCTGGGAAGCTCCCACCCTTACCCTGCAGTCCCCACGTCACTCCAGTTCACAGGGTGTTTACTTGAGAAAATCACTTCTGAAATGTTTAGTGTCCACTTGCCCAGAAGCTCTCTCAGGAGTGGAGCAGGAAGGAAATGAGCATGTTTGGGGTTTTTGTTTTTTGTTTGACACTGGAGATTAACCCAGGGCCTCGATGGCGAAGCAAGCACCCTACCACTGAACTACATACATCCCCAACCCCAGACCTGTGTTCCTTACATGAGGAATGAAAGGTGGTGACTTCGTAATACAATCAAAGAACTCTTATGTGAACGCTGGTATTTTGGGGATGCCCAAAATGCCAAAAGTACTTCTGCACCTTCTGCTTTGGTCAGGCTAACCTGCCTCAGTCTGGCCGAACCACCCATTTGCTCTGTGGGATTTCCATACCCTTTCTACATCTTCATGGCATAGCAGCCCAGGCAATTTAAGAAGGGGGAATTAAATGATTTGCCAATAAGACTTCCTGTTTAGATGTACTACATACATTTTAGTAGTAAAACAAGCTGGGTGCTGCGGATTACGTCTGTTAATTCCAGCTACTTGGGAGCAGAGATCTGGAGCATAGTTAAGGCCAACCCAGGCCAAAAGTTTATGAGACTCCATCTCAACCAATAAAAGCTGGGCACAGTGGTGTGCACCTGTCATCCCAGCTACACAGCATCAGTAGAAGGATCTTGGTTCAGGCTACCAGGGCATAATTTGAAAAATAACTAAAACAAAAAGAGCTGGGGCATGTCTCAAGTGGTAAAGTACTAGCCTCGCAATAGTAAGGCCCTGTGTTCAAGTCCCAGTACCACCAAAAAATAAAAAGTACATTTTAAAAAGCGACACCTTTTAAGCATTATCAGAAAAAGCTGCTGCAAAGCAGCCTGTGCCACACTGCTCCTTGGTGCTCTGGTGAGTAGAGTTTCTCAGGGCTCCTATTTGGGGTGGTGTGCTGTAGCCGCACCTGTGCTCTCTTTAAATT